CTCTGTCCACCCCACGGACATGGATTCTGGTGAAGGCTGGGGGCTGGGTGAGAGCGCTGGAATGCTCCTGCTGATAAATTAGCAGGGAGCCATCTGGGGCTCAGACTTGGGCCTTCTCTTTTTATAGTGATGTGGGGGTGGGCTAGGGAGGGTTACGGAATCCTTTTGCTGGGTACAGAGTCTGTTCCATCGTTACCAACGTTGGACCTGGGCGACGTGCTTAACATGATCTGCCTTAGTTTCCTTACTGGTAAACGGAATATTGCTGGTATCTAGCTCATAGACTGTCAGACTGTGGACCCTGCATTTCCACAGCACGCTCAACCAAGCCCCTCCACTTCCTGAAGTCTGTGGAGGGGCCCTGTGGAGCGAGGCCTTTCCACCCGGGGCTACCTGCATTCCCTCGCTACCTCTGTCCTTTCTCTAGCTTCCTGATCCCCACCTCACAGAAACACAACTTTCTTCTCAGATGGTTTCCTTCTCCTGAGCTCACTTACTTAAATAAAGTGAGGGCAGAAAATTGGTCACCACCTGCTCCTGCACCGCCTGGCTCCTCACATCGCCCAGTTGTCTAGTCTTGTCCCTTGCAGTCGCCCCCTTGCAGTGGGCCTCTCCTCCTTGGAACGTGCTGACCCCTGGTGTCCAAGAAGCCACTCTGTTGGGGTGACCCCATTGCACCTGGCTGCTGCTATCGCTTCTTAATGGCTTTTGTCCCTCCCAGTGACCTCATCCCTTTTGCAACTTCGCTTCCACCATGAACCAAAGGTCCCATATCTCTAGCCCTGTCTCCCCAGCACCACAGAGGCACACGTCTGTCCAGGTAACATCCCTAGGTAACAGATGCCCATGCCTGTCTAGGTAACATCAGTCAGAGCTCACAATTAAATGGCCTTAGCAGAATTTAATACAAGGGACGCAGATTTCCTAGCAAGCTGCCTGGCCAGATAGGCACTTCTAATAGGCAACTATTATTATCACTTCCCACTTTAATATTAAAATGAGCAGTTTAACAGATACTACAATAGTTTGAAAGAACAGGCAAAACTCCTTCCCCAGGGCTAAAGTTCCTTCTTCAAGCTCTGGGGTCAGTGGGCCGGAAACCCCACACCAACCACCACAGGCCAGCCATTCTAGGAAGCAGTTCCTCAATGCCAAGTCCCCTAATTAATTAATTAGTGTTCCAGCGATTACTCCTGTTGACAACCTTGGTGGCTCTTGGCAAGGGTGGGTCAGCCCAAGCAAGTCCAGACTTATTGTGGCAAATCCCACTGGCTTCTGGGATGTGAGACGTGGTCCCCATAGACAGAAGCACCTCGTTAGAGAGAATTAATTGGGAGGACGAATGGGGCGGGACAGGTCCTCTCAGCCAATTGATGGCTGGCTGTGGTGCCCAGGTCACAGAGCAGCCTCACAACATGGCGCCCAGGCCCACCTGCATCCTGCTGGGCTGGCCAGGTGAGGAGGGCTCTGAAGAGCACGTCCCTTTCCTCCCTTTGTAGAGACTTAATGCGCCGTGATTATGTGCTTCATAGACCAGAGAAGGAGGCCTGGGTTGCAGTGACTACCCTCCACATGCCCTTAAGGCAGGCCTGGGAGAGAAAGGGGCCTGGGACACAGAGCCTTGTGAAACTAGGCGCGTCACACACACCACCTCTCGCGCTAAGCTGGGGGCCCAGAAGATGTGCGGTGGCCATCTCCCTATTGTTCACACCAGGGGGACACCCACCAAAGGCCCACCGCACTCCAGGCTTCCCCACAGAGGGCGATGCCCAGCTCCCGCCTCTCTCCAGTGCCCCGGAGAATAAGGTGGTCAAGTGAGGAGAGAAAATCTACCACAGAATGCTCTGATGTGGCCCTTCCTGGGGTCTCTGGACCCGGTCAGGCTCGGGATTTCTTTCCACATCAGCACCTGCTTCTGTGACTCTAGGCTGGTCTCTTGGCTGCTCTGGGTCTCCATAACTCCAGCACACACAGGTGGGTTGTAAACTGGATGACCTTGAAACTCTTCTGACAAGAATGATCTCCAATTCCACACCAGGGGGTTTTCTCGGTCCTGGCTCCCTCCCCAGTGCGGGCAGCTAGTGCCACGACCAGCTGCTCTCTGAACACAGGGGTGCCCGTGAGAAAGGCACTCGGGCCCTCTCCTAGGACAGTCGACTGTACAGAGTGCCAGCCCCACCCTTCCAGAAGGGATGTCAGACCCGAGAAGTCCCCCGGCTTCCTCGCTCCCATCTTCAGAACTTCCAGGCAATCCACAGCTCTTGCTTCCACTAGGAGTCTCCAGGCATCCGGTCACAGCCATTGTCAGGGATGGGGAACAGGGTGGAGAGGAATTTCTTTGGCTTCATCACAAGACTGGACCCCATGGGCACAAGGATACTGCTGATACTCATTACAAACCAGGCTTCCACCGCCATTCTGGCCTCCCAAGACAGATGTTCACCACATCATAGTTTCCCCTGAAACTCGAGGGCCCAGTGAGAGGAAGAAACGCCGGTCCTCACCCTCCCTGGACTTTGCCTTCCTACCAGCGTCAGTCTCTCACCTTTACAAAATGGGAACATAAACAGAAGCTCCCCTTGATCCCACATCTTGCTCCGGCTATGGAGGTCTTCACCTCTACTCTAAGGGTCGCCAGTCCTCACGGGGAGCTCACTAACCTCCCTGAGAAGCTTTAGCACTCCCACCACTGCCCTGCAGGCCCTATCTGAAGCAGACTTGGTCCTGCAATCCCAAATGCAGAAGGCGGGTCTGGCCACAGCCTGCCTTTCCTGAGCAGTTACCACTGATACCATCTTTAATCTTTGACCCCCTCCCCCCGCGCCCCCTCACCAGTCTGCCTCTTTATCATACCTCGCTTTTCCCATCAGCTTACTCACCGTCACCACCACCCCCCTTACCAGCTAAGGTTTTAGGGTCCACTGCAACTCCTGGCATCTTACCAACCTCCAGAATGCCCTACTCAGCCTGACGAGTCTCCAGGAGCCGGCGCCCAGCACCTCGAGGGAGACAGGCCCTGGCCACACCACACATGAGTGTCTCCCTCAGCCAAGCCTCCCCTCTGAATGCCTCAAAGCTGTTCATTTGTCCTCAAACCTCAGATCTCCCCGTTCCCTCACTTTTTCCTTCTGAGTCATGAGAAGACAGATGCCATCAGGGCAAATTCTTTAACTTCCCGGCCCAGAAACGACCCCCCAACTTTGTTGCCCAGACACCCCCTAACTCAGGAAAACCCCCAGTCTGTGTCCTGCATGGACTCTGCCTCCGCCCTTCTCCTGGTGCTTCACTGCTCCCCTGTGTCTTCCTTTTTTGCCTTTCCTCCAGCTCCAGTCTCTCCCCTTACAACAGGGGGACATAAACAAGTACAAGCCCCCCTTGATCCCACATCTTGCTCCAGCTGTGGGTCTGTTTCTCCTTTTCCCTTGCTGCCAGCTCTCTGGATGGGCGGCGCTGGTTCCCTGACCCTCAGCTGGGCCCACCCCTCAGGAGGGGTTTGCCGTCACTGTCTGAGATGCCGTGGACACTCATCAGCCTCCGGGACTTGTTCCCGCAGGAGGGTCAGGCCCTCAGACAGCCCACCACGCCCTGGTCCCACTTGGCTGTGTCCTTCCTTCCCTGCTCACGCACCGGGTGTTACAGGGCACCCCAATGTGAATTGGGTTGCCTGTCTGTGGGTCCCTCACCCGCGCGCTTACGATTCAAACGTATTATGGACACACTCAAAAAGGTTCAATAATGGATTTATTTACAAGGAGAAAGATAAAGGAATAACCCAGGGAAAGAGGGAGAGAAATACAAGTTAACTAGAATGTCCTACCAATTCTGCTGACTTGGACTCTACCAGCACGCTGAAAACCAATCAAGAGACAAAATGACCAGCCACAAACCACCAGGCCAAGAGACCCCCAGTGCCCACATGTCCGGTTTTATCCCAACCTGGCTGCTCAGCTCCGCCCTCACATCCGAGCGTGCTTCTCTTTGGTACTGATGGGGTTTGGAGTTCCAGTATCTGGAGTGGGGGCGGAGTCCATGAGAGCTGTACCTGGTACACGTGACGTCACCCTCTCCAGGGAGGTCTCTTTCCTCCACTGGAGCAGCTCCTGGCTGCTCCACACTCCTTCCCCTCACTTCCATTACTGTCCCTCCAGCCCTGTCCTCTCTCCTGGACTGCAGGGCCAGGGCCTCACAGGCAGCGCCATTTGCATGGTGCCAGGCTCCTCAGACCCGCGTCTCATCCATCTCAGCACGCTGATGCTGTGGTACCTACATCTGCCAGGTCATCCCGAAGCAGCCAGCTGGGCACAGGCTCCTTCTCCCTCACACATGCATTCTCAGCAAACCCTGACGAAGCCGCCTCCTAGCTGTCTCTGCAAGGCCACTCTCCCGTGCCCGTTGGCAACAGCCCTCTTCTCACTCTGGGTGCCCGTGTGGGCTCCCAGTGGCTGCATTCCTACAGAGCACCAGCCTGGCCTCACAAAGCAGTCCAGGCACGGTTCAAAACCAGGAGCCGGTGGTTCTGCAAACGCAGCCCTTCTCATAATGTTTATTCTCTGCTTTGGCTCTAAGTTTCCAGCGCCACCTGGCCCAGCCCTCTCCCCTGGTGCAGGTCACCTTGGTCACTCTCTGCTTGTGGCGCCTCAGCTTTTAGAGCCTCACCGAGAACCTTCACTCCAGGTGCCGTCACTGTCCGAGATGCCAGTGGACACTCATCAGCCTCCGGGACTTGCCCCCTCCACCCCTCTACCTGACGGAGTCCAGCCCACCCACCAGGCCTCTCCCCTCTAAGCTTCATTCGGACCCCACCGTGTTCTCCCATTCTACCCCTCCTCACCACCAGTTGCTACCCTGTTTCACTGCGGTACTCACTGCTTGAGACTCACCTCGCAGCTCTACCCCAGTGCCTAGCCCAGGCTAAGGAGGCAGCACTGAGTAGGTATTTCTTAGTAAATAAGAAAGCCACATCCCTCCCCGCTCTGCCCTCGCGGGCCTCCTCCACTGACCTCTGACATCTGCGGGAAGAGGCTGATGGCCAGTGGCAGGGCCAGGCCGAAGGCTGCCAGGCACACGAGGCTTTGCACGGGGAGGAGCAGCCGGGGTCGTGCCTGCAGGAGAGCCGTCCTGTAGGAGAGAGGCGTGCACGTGTGAGCCCAGAGCTGGGCAGGCTGGCTGCCAGCCTCCACACTTGCTCCACTCAAAGTCCCAGAGCCAGGGTGGCCTGGCTCTGGCCAGTACCTGCTCCCCAGCGAGATAGCTGTAGAGGAATTCCGCCTCTGAGGCCTTCTGCAGTCAGTACTCCTCTCCCCAGGGCCTGTCTTGCAGGGTATGGCTGGTTGAACTCTCTGCCCTAAGTCATAAGTGATCTCCAGAGGGACACTCACCCTGCTGCCTACAAAGCAGGCCAGTGTGCAAGGAGACAGTGGAGAAGGCTGTCAGCCCCTGCTCCCGGGGTTAGGGGGGCCACGGTAAGGTTGCTTAAAGACAGCACAAAATGAAACAGCTAACACGTCAGAGTAGATGCCCACCCAGAGGAAGAGACACAGCACACGCACACGGGTGCACGCAGGCACGAGCCCACCCGTGAGCGTGCATGGACAGGCACACACGTGCGCACACACACTGGGGGGGATGACTCACTTCTGTGTGGGGACAGAGCACACGCACTGACACTTGGTCGGTTTTGACCCAAGAGGCCCACACAGAGGCAGTGACTCGCCCAAGGGCAGCTCAGCAGGAGACAGCAGGCCTCTGCCCTGGCCCCTCGCTACCCTCAGGTGCAAGAGCCACCACCCCGTGCTCCCAGCTCCAAGTTCAGGTTGAGCACCAGCCCATCACGGCTGATGCCCATTCCCATGGTGAGCTTCGGAGGTGGGATTCCTGGACAAGGGAGGGGGCTGAACTTTTAGGGTGCTGGGTCTCCCAGTTCCCAGATCAAACAGGTTTTCCAGACAGAGAGGGTCATACCTGCTGGTTAATACATCTTCACTATTTGTCCATCAGAGCTTTATGTTTTGCATAATTGGGAAGGCCCTTTAGTGGAGACCACCAACCCCTCCACTCGGGCGGCCTGGAGCGGGAAATGCCGGCAGCATAGACGGTTCACTGGAGCGTGTTGGGTGAATACTAAATCTGACCTTGACAACCAAGTAACCTCCCTGTGGCTGGGACAGGCCCCTGGGGTGAAGAGACATGTCAGGACCCCCCTACCCCTGCCCAATGGAACAGGGCTGGCTGTGGTCACAGGCTGTCCTAGGAACAGGCAAACCCCACACCACCTTCACCACCTGGCCCTAAACAGAAAAATGGGGCCAGTAGTTCTTAAACTCCCCCAAGAACAGAAGGAGGCTGGAGAGCAGCTGAAGGCCGCCATCCTGTCTAGGCAGATGGTTAAAAATGCAGACTCCCAGCCCCAAGAGAATCTGATTGAGCGGGCATTGTACCTAGGAATCTGCATTTGAACAACCCTTCATGAGTTTAAACAGGGCATTTCTGCACCACCCTTATGAGAAACCCCAGCCCAGGATGGCCCTGCTGAGACACCAATAAAGACCCAGCTATTTCTATATTCTATTCAAGGCAAACTCCTGGACACAGGAAGTGTTCACCCATCTTGTGTGTTGTTACCACTGTGGTCTCTGTCCTTGTTAGTGCAGAAAGAAGGGCGGATCCTGGTAGATCTGTTCTCTTGCTCCTCCTACTAATCAGGACCCCAAGATCTACCAAGGTGTCCTGTCAAGTGAAGCCCCGACTGAGCTATCTGATTGGGGTGTTTCCACAAGATGCAGGACAAGATGCCTGCATCAAGTTCGAGGCCATCTGACCCCACCACCTCAGTCTAGTGCCCACATCTTCTCTCTCACCTCCAAGGGAGCCACACTACCCCACAGGGATTCAGCTCCAGCCACAGGAATAAGGCTGACATGGCTCAGAGACTGTTTTCAAGGCAGATCAACTACCCCTGTAGGACACCTACCCCTGTACTCCTGGAGGTGGGACCCCAGGCTCTCTCAGACTCGGGCATAGGTCAGGAGTCCTGGCTCTGAAGAGGCTGCTCTCCTGTCCCCATGGCAGTGCCTGGGACCTTTGTCCCTCCCAGGACCTGAGCAGGAGCAATGGCAGGGAGGGTTTGAAGTCTCTGCAGACACAGCCCAGGGTCACTGAGGGCTAGGATGGTGACTGGGAGAAGAGTGAGGCTCCCTGCCAGGGTGAGAACAGCCTCCCACCGGCTCCATGGAGGCTGCATGCAGCCTAAGCCCATCTCTCAGGAGTGGCTGGTCTCCACTGGGCAGGGAGCCCAGGCCGGTGTTCGGTGTTCGCAGCTGAGGCAGAAGACAGGCCTGGGACTGCAGCCCCACTGGAGCCTCTAAAGCCCCATTCCGGAGTTAGGGGAGAGTGAACACAGCAGGACAGGGGAGGGGCAGAAGGAAGGGAAATGGCAGGGAGGGATTGGAAAAGGCAGCTGGGGGAGTTAAAATATGCAGATGGAAGATGTGCGAATGCCTGGGAGAAAGGAAAGACCCGGATCCCAAAGAATAAGGGTGGCTGGGGAGCTGCCTCAGGGCTGCAGTGATGCGGGTGTGGCCTGAACCCCGACTTAGCTTGGATCCCACCTGGCATCCCTGCGAGCTCCAGGACCCCGAGTACAAGCTGGGGGGAGCAGGGTTGCCAGGAGAGAGCCTGGTGGCCCACTAGGCGCAGGCCCCTGCCCCTGAGTTAAGGGAACCGCTCAGAAGGGGCCTCTCCCAGCCCTGGGTCTAAAGCCAGCTGCTGTGCAGCCTGAGGCAGGGGGTGAGAGGCTGTGTGTGGGTGCTACTGTGAGTGAGAGGGCATGCACACCCCTCAGAAGAGGGCCAGTGCTCTGGGCTGGGGGTGAAGGTCCTCTACTTTTCACTCAGGGCTCTCTTCCTTTTAGAGTCAGTAAAGGGGGCACCTGAAAATGCCTCCCTCCCTCCCTCCTCTCCTCTCCTGGCAGGAAGCCCCAGAGAGGATAAACTGAGGCCAGAGCCCAGCCCCCTGCGCCACACAACAGCTTGTCCCCCATTGCTGTGCACCCCCAGCACTCAGTGCAGTTCTAATTGGCACTCCATTAATTTGCAAGTAGGCTGCTTTGTAAGTGTTCTTTTGTTTTTCTTCCCTGGCTTTTCTGACTCCCTCACCCAACAGGGCTCCCAAGGGTGGGGCTGCCTCCACCTGCAACCTCCTCAGCAGAGGCCCTGTCAGCATCACCCCAGAGCCAAGGGGCCTGCTGGATGGTGCAGAACCCTAAGCCCCAGGTTCTAAATGCCATCCTTCCCCAGGCAGGAAACTGAGGCTGGCTCAAAAGCGGTGGAGGGGGAACCTGGGTTTCCCTTTCTTACCAGAAGTATTGCTACGCTATGCCGCCTCTCCTATCAGAAAGGGGTGCAGCTCCCCAAACATATGAATAGTAGTAAATCTCTGAAGGCACAAAGTGAGTCTTATTCGTCTTGACGTTCCTGGGGCAACACAGGAAGGACCTTTCCCCTTGAGTTTCAGGGAAAGATCAACCAAGTCAAAGCTTCTAGACGATCTGAAGAGATCACCGTTTCCACCTCCTTGAGGGGCTTCGACCCAGCCAGGGCTGAGTCAGATCCCTGGTAGCCCAGAATCCAGGTGGGTCCCAGACTGGAGAGGTTCAGAACGGGACAAGCTCACCCCACTTTTCAGCCACCTAAAGCTAAATTTGAGCCCCCAAACCAATGGGACACTAATCATCATTCCATTTTCACCAATTCCACCACAGATGCCAACAGGGAAATCTTAAAATTTAAGACCATGCTTTGCTCCAGCAAATTCCAAGTTCAATATTCAGTAGTCTGGAGGACAGATTCCCCACCTTCCTCATTTTCCTATTGGCTCCTTGTTTTGGGGGGACAACCTTAGTTCATGATGGAGCTATGCAGCTGCATGGATAAGGGTTGGGCACAAAAACAACTCCTCCCTCAGGATCTATTTATCTTTGCTACTTGCATAAGCGATGAATTTTGGTAAATCCTGGTGCACCATATACCATGTCCCTGCCCAGGTACAGTGCCCCTTCTCCCCACAAAACACCTACACATTTTGCTTCTACCAGGCTGGACTCTGATGTCCATACAATAGCCCGCACCTTGTCTAGAAAGCCCTCCCTTCGGCAAACAATCCTACCCTGCTCGCAGTGGTCACAGCTTCTCTATTGCTGGGCCTACAGAGCTCCCACCCTTCAAGGTCATCTTGACCCTGTTGACACTTATTCAATCCCACCTGATGCTGACTTCTATGTGTGGGTTATGCACATCCCCCTTTCAAAATACAAGCATCCTGAGACCAGGATCCCAAATCTGCTCTGCTCCTCTCCACACAGGGCAGCAGCTGAAGACATGCTGATCATGTGATGTGATCTGAAGCCCAAGAGGCAGCAACTTTCCAGGGCCTTTCCTGGCTCCACCATTTCTTATGATTATAAGCAGATGATATAACCTCTCTTGGCCTTCTTTTCCTGATTTGTAAAATGAGGACACCATACTAAACCTCATTGCACTGATGTAGGGTACAATGAGATCATTTATTCATTCAACAAACACTGAGTCCCTAACATGTGCAGGAACTGCTAGATGCTATTCATGGCAGTGAAAAAAAGGAATTTACTTAGATTCATGGAGATTACATTCTAGTGGAACAGACAAGTAATAAACAGCTAGATAAAAACTCAGACATTTGTAAGTGCTGGGAATGACAATCAGGCAGTGTGGGGAGAAATAATGGTCGCTGGTGGGGTGGTCAGAGAGGACCTCTTGGAGGCCCTGGCTCTTGGGAAGAGGCTGTGACCACCTCTGGGAGCAGGGTAGGATTGTTGCAGCAGGGAGGGCTTTCTAGACAGGTTGTGGGGTGTTATGTAGACATCAAACAGTCTGACCTGATAGAAGCATAATGCGTAGGGGGTAGGGGAACGTGGTAGCTGAGCATGGCATGGTGCACCAGGATTTAAGAAAATTCATCTCTTATGTATGAAGCCCTAGAGGCAGCCACTGTTGGGAAGCCTCTTGGGAAGAGAACTGGCTGAAAAGGTTAAACATAACATGTGTTAAACATAATAAGTGTCAACTGCGGTTACAGTTAGTATTGTGAGAATAAGTTCCCCAAACTGGGGAGAAGTCCTAGCCCCAGAGCCCGAGATGGAGTGCCCCCAAAGCTGTCCATATCCCACAAGCTCACTACTTTGAGGTGCCCCTCCCAGGCCAGACCCCACTTTTCCCTGCATCTCCAGACTTTTTTTCTTGTTCCACCACCTAGAATCCTTCCTGGCTCCGGCTGTCCAGGCCTCACCCCAATCTGGGGGGCCTGCCCAGCCAGCCCTACCTGTAGATGGGCCTGGCTCTTCTCCTGCTCTGCTCAGCCTCTCCTTCAAATGGTATCTGAGACTTCACCATTCAGTTTCACACTCATTAATTAATAGAATCACTCCATCATTGCCCTTATTATTGTGTTCCTATTTCTTTAAGCCATGACAAATATGTATTCTCAAAACATCCCTTTGAGGAAGGCAGAGAGGTTAGTCTTACTCATAGTTTATAAATGGAGAAACTGAGGTTCAGTGAGGTTGTGACTGCCTCCCGGTGGATGCCCGAAGGGGGTGGCCCTGGCCCTAAATCTCATCTTCCCATCATAATCCTCAGGCTGACTCTCCTCCTCCAACCCAGCACTGTACACTGATAAGAAGTGAGCACACGCGTGTGATGCGCACACGCAAACCCACAGAGACACACATCTCCCACCCCCCGGGACTACCAGCTCCTCAGGTTTGTCCATCAAACAACTTCCCCAGCACCTGGCCAGGGTCCCCAGTAGCAACGTTTGTGACTTCTGGTGATGGGCTTGACACTGCTGGGAGTGGGCTGCGGAGCAAACCAGGGCAGGCGGGCTGCCAGCTGCAACCCTGTGTCCTGCCCTGGGCCACCCCGTGCCCCTTCCCTCTCTCCCTCCTCCCCACTGCGGCCCTCTCTCCCAGCTGCCCCAACTCACTTCTCCAGCATGGACATGACGATCGGGGGTAGCACCAGGATGGGCATGGGGAGGACCACTCGCGTCAGCGCTGTCTCCAGCAGGGCCTGAGAGGCAAGCAGAGATTTTGGTGAGCCAGGGCCTCGAAGCAGGCAGCAGCTGCGCCCCGGGGCCCCGAGGTGTGTGTCCTGCTGTGAGTACATGTGGCTGAGTGGAATACTTCATGGGATGGCTCACAAAGCTGTATTCCAAACAACAGAAAACGGCCACCCCCTCCCTACCCCCCATTTGAAAAGAGCAGATCCCAGCACCTGCATGCTGGGGGAGGGTGGCAACACAGAAAGGGCCCCAGGAAGGGGCCTGTGCCAGGGAGGGGCCTCGGGTGGGGGGGTCAGGGGCCGGGAGGAAGCATATGGAGGTCTCCACGCTCAAGACATAGCAAGTGCTGAATGACCAGAACAAACAGCTGGGGCCTGAGAACCACCAGAGGCTCATGGTACTGAGGGAGGAGAGAGATTTGAGGTTTTACTCATTTTTTTAACATCCTTTAAAGCCAACATCTTGCATCTCCTGGCCCTGAATATAGTCTTTCTTAGTGACAACAGATCAGCTTTGTGGGGGAATGTGCCTTTGAGCGCTGCTATCTCCATAGGCCTCATGGCGCTGGGGACTCCCTCAGGGTTCAGGGGTACTCAGTTCTGCACTCTGCCCATCACTGCAGTGAGCACCTTCCACCCCAGATCTGGCCCTCAGAGAAGGCTCCAGAAATGACCCATAGCCCAAGTTCCCTACAGTCTTCCCCCAGACAGCATGAGTGGGTGCTGGTGCACCCTACCAGTTGACAGGGTGGAGTGAAGAAGGCCCAGAGCTGCAGAAGAACTCAGAGATCCCTGCTATTTGACCCATGAGGGGAAGATATCTTTTTCAGCCCCCCTCACAGCAATCCAGAGAAAAGCTAGGTAGGGCTGGCTAGGAGGTTGAGGTCAGGTAGGAAACTGAGGGCACTTCCCCTCAGAAGCTGGGCTCAGGGCCGAACATCTCTCACGGGAACTTTGGTCCTTCATAATCAGTGACAGGAAGGTCACGGAGGGTCCTCCATTCGCCTGAACAGGTATGGGAAAAAAGAGAACCCAGAGTCTGTGCAGGGCGCAGAGGACAAATGTTGGCACTGGCACAAGCTTGGTCAGGCAGGCACTTCCTCTCAGACCACTGCAGAGCCAGCTGAGGACCTGGGGTACAGAGGGGCCTGCCTCAGGGCTTATGGAGGAAGCCTTAAAGACATAGGGGAGGCTCTGCACCCCCCCTCCACTGAGAGAGCCAACGAGAGATGGCGGCAGGAGCAGGAGAGCACTCAGCTGAACCTCCTCCAACCACGGCCCAGCACCCAGAGGCCAGAGCTACCAGGATGAAGGCTGGGGAGCACAAGAGATGGGGATGTGGCACAGTGGTGATGAGGGGGAAGTTGGAGAGAAGCAGGATGTATGTATGTATGTGAAGGCTGGGGAGCACAAGAGATGGGGATGTGGCACAGTGGTGATGAGGGGGAAGTTGGAGAGAAGCAGGATGTATGTATGTATGTGAAGGCTGGGGAGCACAAGGAACTGTACAAATGGCTGGAATTTTTTAAAAATCACAATTGTTAGAGTAAGCAAGGCTGGTGAAACCAAGGGTGAAAGAGAGCTTTATGTACCCAGGTATTTTCCCCCAAACCCCACTTGTGGCCTCCCCCAAGCCTGAAATCCCTCCACTGTGACCACACTTGCTCCCTGGTGTGGTATCACCTGAGAAGTGCCTATTAGCACAGAACCACAAAACACTGGCTCCCAGCTTCCTCTTCTTACCCATGAGGATATGTAGGCCCAGGGAGCAGGGCCCTGGATCCTGGGGAAAAAAGCTCGGCGGGACCTACACTGCCCTCACCAATTAACAGATCAGTGAAGCCAGGTCCAGAGGGATTAGGACAAGAGATGGGGATGTGGCACAGTGGTGATGAGGGGGAAGTTGGAGAGAAGCAGGATGTATGTATGTATGTGGAGGGTGCAGGCATGGCTGGGGCCAGACTTCCAGGCCCCGGCTCACATGGGCCATCCTATGTGACGGGCGGCCGCCCCCCTGTTGCTGGCCACCCCAGACCCCCTGCACCCTGAGCCCTGCAGACCCACATGTCTGGCTGCGATCTTTGAGGAGCCCACGAGGTTGCCATCAGCATCCAGAACGTCGATCCCTTCCTCCAGCTCCCCATACCGCATCAGGACCACGTTGCAGATATTGGCGCTGGCTGGAGAGAGAAGGGAGCAGGGAGTAGGGCTGAGGGCTGAGGGTGGCAATCTGTGTAGAGAAGGCCACTGGCTCCACCCTCCCCAGTGCTGAAGAAGTGCTGAGAAACGCAGTCCACGGCGAAGGTGGGGTGAAGGTATGGTTGGTCTTTGCCTGTCAGCTTGGTGAGGGGTTGGGGGCCCCTGGGAAACTCCTGAGCAAAGCTGGGCACAAGCAATGGGGGAGAGGAAGGAGGCACTCTTCAGGGCTTAGAGACTGACCCGTTATCAGGGAGCTGCTTCCTTCTCATGGCAGGCTCCCCACGCCACCCAGGCCCCATGTGGCCCTGGCAGTGTCTGTTGGGCTGCCTTTCCAGGCAGGCTCATGAGACTCCAGCCCCCCACATTCAGCCCCTGGCTCCTCAGAGTCAGTCAAGCTCCCGGAGATTTGCTTCCCCGACAGCAGGTGCCAGAGCACTCACGAACCTCAATGCTCACCCAGCACCACCCCCTCATCATATGGAAGGAAAATGGAGGCTGGGGGCGGGGCAGGGAGGGGACTTTTCTGAGGTCACCCAGCAAAGTAGGACAGAGCTGAAAGGCAACCGTGTCTATTTTTTGGGCACCAGGAGACGGGAGGGCTTGGGGAAGGGGGCTCAGACACCGCTGAAGGCGACTGTCCACATTCTTGCTTCAGGAGTTTGGGCTCTCTTCTGACCATGCCCACCACCCCCCATCGCAGCTGAGATTGTGAGGACCGAGGCCCAAGGGATGTCAGCATTAAGGAGCCCCCCAGAAGCTGATGGCCAGCACAGGGAGCCTCGTGCCCCAGACTCCATGGTTGGGCCCACGCAGGTGCTGACCTCGCCTGAACTCCTCCAGCCCTGCACAGGGTGAAAGTGGGGGAACGGGGGTAGTGGGCGGCTGGGGAGTGGGGGGTGACAAATGTGGAACCCGCTGCTTCACTCCTCCCCCAAAAGCGCCTTGCTGTGTTTAAAGTTTTAATTTTTGCTAATTAATGTCAATTAATTTTGTATAATGAGTGTTTAATTTTGGGGAGTGTGTGAGCCTGGGAGCGACTGCAGTTCTGGGCTGTGAACGCTGATTAGCATCAACACCTGCTGCTTCCCCACTCCCTCCAGTGTGGGGGGGGCACCAGGGTTTGGGGAGCTGGAGGGCGGCAGGGCCTTGTGGGCAGGTGGAGTGGGAGGAGGACCGCAGATGCTCCTGATGCCCGAGCCAAGGCTGAGGAGCGAGTGGGCCAGGGCTCGCACCACTAGGGACAGGGCTTTGCAGGTGAGGGGGACTTGAGGCCCTGGGGGCCTGGGAGCCTCAGTCTCCCGTTTCAATAAAGTGGGGAGGTGGAATAAGCAGAGGGAAGACCGAAATGCTTCTTTGGGAAGAAAAGCAGGAGACCAAACACAGTTTTAAAATGTCTTTACAGCACATATGCCATCTTTGATTAGATCTCATGCTTCCACACGACTCTCAACGGAGTGGTAGCCACCGGCAGACCGCCTCTGTGCCGGGCCTCAAGCCCCGGGCCCCCTCCTGTCCCTCAGCAGGCAGTCACCTGTCTTATACAGTGCTCTCAATTGGGGTGAATTTGTGAGACATTCGGCAACATTTGGAGACATTTTTGATCATCACGACCTGGGGTAGGGTTGCTGCTGGCATCTAGTGGGTAGAAAGCAGTGCTGTTAAACATTGTACAATGCCCAGGAAGACACCCACAACAAAGAATGGCCCAGCCCAAATGTCTGCTGTGTGAGACATTGTCTTACATGAATCCAGAGACCGACAGATAGAAAGGCGAATCTGAGGTAGAGGAGGACGGTTTGGGAACCTGGATTCCAGGCCAGCTGGGCGTAGGTTCCAATCCAGCCCAGCACTGCCCCCTCACATCCTCAAAGTTGAGCTCCTGCTAGGTCCAGTGTTCCCCAGAACCGGGGGCCCAGACTGGTCTCCCTACCAGCTGGACCTGGCCTGTGTGTTAGTGACACGCCCTCTAGTGACAGCAGGAGAGCGCTACATCCTCGATGCCCAGGGCTGCCGTCCTTGGGTTACCAGGAAACCTAACAAAACCTCAGGAGAGGAGGGTGTGGATTTTCGCCCTGAAAGGCATGGACTTCTACCCTCCAAACCCCACCCCCCACCCCCACCCCCAGCATCGTCAGTATTCCTGGAAAGGCAAGAAATACAGGAGTGATCTCCAGGGACACATGTCTATGTAAAGCCAGGAGCCACCGCCTACTCACCCTGTGACCCCAGCAGCCGCAAACTGGTTCCCTTACATGTAAGAGGGTCTGTCCTTACCATATCGCAGACCCTGGCTGAGGACACACAAAATGCAGGCCTCCACACCCTTGCCCGCATCAGACCAGAAGGCTGAGACATCTCTAACCCCGAGTGTGTGTGTGTGTGTATGTGTGTGAGAGAGAGAGAGAGAGAGAGAGAGAAAATTGAGGGTGGGGGTGTAACTTGGAGACCAGCTTGCTCCCAGGAATCCACAAGTCAAATTTAGCCACAGCAGGACAGAGATCTTTGGTTGAGAACCGCTTGAGATGGAAGGTAAAGAACCGCTTGAGGTGGAAGATAAAGCATGAAGGACATGAACATCCTGCCTCCCTCCCCTCAGACAGACCCTCCAGGACACTTTTGGGGATGACCTCACGCTCATGTAAGATGCCAGTATGGAAGAAAAGAAAACAGAAACCCAAAGCTATCACAAAATGGTGGCAAGCCTCCACCTCTTCCCTCAGAACCCACAGTTCTACTGTGCCTGTGCAGACAGCACAGGCCCTGTAGTCTGTGTGCTATGTACACTGGTTGTCTATTTAGTGAGCACCTGCTGTATGCACGAGCGCCTAGCCATCTCTGCCTTTGTGTCATGAGAACACTGGCCTGTTTCAGCGAATTCATTTCCATGATCTCATCCCAAACTTTCGAGTCTATGGTATCCTTTCAAACCTGGCCCCTCCCAACACACTCCTGGCAAGTCCAATTCTGGAGACAGACACTGAGAACTCAGCACATGGAAATGTGAGCAAGACCAACCATGCTCCATGGGTCTCCTTTCTAGCACACCAGCAAGATCTATTATTGACAGTATCAGCAGGTTAATTAAGCAGTCTGTTAGTGATAATGTTAAGAAAGCTGGCACATTTTCAACTCAGATTGACACCATTCAAGACTCAGGCATAACTGATGTTGGAGCAGCAATGCTGGGAGATGTCACGGGATGGTGGGTGGGGGAAGAGAGAAAGAGAGAGAGGTTGCTTCACACTGATGGCAAGCTCAGTGTCAAGTCCTCAGGAAAATATGCTCTTGACTGCTGCAGATGTTCTCACATCAGACCCATCGGGATGCAAAATCATGCAGATTGTGAACAGCTAATGAAGCACCCCGCGTAAAAGGGACAGTGTGGGGGAGAAGAAAGAGCAGCAGAGAGGCAAATGTTCAAGAAAAGTCTAGAAAAGAAGATGACAGGGGATCCTGCTCCCTAATTCAGTACAGGAACAAACATGTAGATCAGCAGAGTTAATACTTCAGACACAGACCCATCTACAAGGGAAATGAGTTTGCACTAAAGCAGTTGTATCAACAGGACTCAAATGTGAGGGTGAGGCAACGGGTTATTCATAAAAGGAGGATAACTTCTAGGACTCCTCAGTCCAGGATACGTTTCCCCATATTTCATGTTTGAAAAATCCCAATGTGCCTTACGACAAATACTGGTGCAGGGGGACCTCACGTGCTCCCCGGCCATTGCCAGTGCATGTGTGAGCTTAGCCTGTAGGTATCTATTCCCTCAAGTGTCACCTCAGCTGCCCACGGAAATCCACACAGAATTTGAACTTAAACTTAGATCCCTAATTGTTGCCTAAAACATCTTTTTAAAACTTACACTATAATGGAGCATGGACATGAAAAGTTATTGTACATGCAGAAGATCGTCTGCCAGATACCAGGCAATGCAATTAAAGGCAGCAGAAATTGCCAAACCATAGATAGCTACCCTAAAGAAATGCTTGCCCATATGCACAAAGAGACATTTACAAGGATGTTAATTATAGCACTGTTTGTAAGAGCAAATAATTAGAAACAACCTAAATGTCCACCATTAGGGAACTCATGTGGGAAGATCTCCAAAACAAACTTATAGGAAAGAAGCTATGGGATATAGGCAGGTTGACTCCTGCATGTGAACTCCGTAATGGTATTTACACAAGTGTGTGTGTACAAGTCCACAGGTAATGGTTTGTGGTTTTGATAGGTTCACACCTCACAGAATGGTCCCTGAGGAACTAAATTTGAGAATTAGGGGTTGGTGAACAAGTTCCAATTTTTTACCTTGAGTTTTTTATACTGTTTGTATTTTTGTAATGAGAATATAATCCCATGTCATTTGTCTAAATTGTTCAAAGGAATTGCCAAACATCTTGAAGTAGATTATAAAAAATTTAAAGTCAGCAGGGGTAGATGTGACCTCGTCATGGATCCTACATTTAGGCACCTGTATGTCAGAAACCCACTGAAGCTGATCGACTTCAGGAATATGTTTTTCTTTGAATAAAGAAAAAAAAAGAAACTACTGGTATAACCAAATAGGAAATGCAGACAAAAAAAATTCCCATTTCCCTTCATATGCTTTGAAAGTGGACACTATGTCCACTTAAAAGGGGTCAGGACAGAGCAGGGGCTGCAAAGAAAACAAGGACAACAATAGTGGTGGTGGCAATGCTGTTTGACAACTGCTGTTTAAAAGATAATTAGGAAATATGAAGAAGGCTTAGACTCACACTCCGTGGCACTGAGAACACTGACTCAGGCTGAGTGTGTAAGTGAATGTTTACGTATTCCTTAAATGAACACGACATAAAGGCATTCACATTAATGCCTCTCTTAATTAAGCATCTTAGAATTCAACAACATGCTTTGATCTCTATTTTATGAGCCATGGTATAAGGGATGGGCAACGACATTGATTTCAGATAATGAACAGGGCTAGTAATAGGAATTT